ACGTTGCTGCAAAAGGCTGTGGAGGCCAGGTCACTGAGGGTATTTAAGACAGAGATAGATAGATTAAAACTGAAAGAACTGTGGATGCTGTAAGTCAGAAACTAAAACAGAAATTGCTGGAAAAGCTCAACAGGTCTGGCAGCATCTGTGTAAAGATGAACCTTCCTTAGAGATAGATATGTTCTTGATTAAGGGGATCAAGGGTTACGAGGAGCAGGAGAATGGGATTGAGAAGGATATCAGCCATGATTGAATGGTGAAACAAACTTGATGAGCCTAATTCTGCTGCTATATCTTAGGTCTTATGGCATCAACCCAAAACAAAAAGCGCAGAAGTGTGACTGTTTCTGAACTAAGTGAGAGAAATGGAAAAGAACGAGTGTCAGGAAAGAAATGTCATCTTGTTACAGTAAAAAGGCACAATGAGAGCACTGTGTGCAATCTAGTTCCCAATTTCAGAAGGGGATTCTTGATCATCAAGGAGATTCCGTAAAGAATTCATTTCTGAGGGAGCGATCTTACCTCTCACTTGGAGAATTCAGGACAATACAGTCAAAACAAACATGTTTCTGAAAGCGTATTGAAAAGTTCAAATCAAATCAATTTTTCACAAGGGCAAAAGCTTTAAATCCCATGGAACACAGGTTTAAAATCAGAAATCAAAAGTGAGGAGAGAAATAGAGATGAATTTTGACCAGTGGGAAGCCAGGTTATAGACTAAGGCATCAGGGAAGGATTTTGACATAGGTGGTATAATTTCAGTATACAGTAGGAAGTCTTTTTTAAAATTCCTTACAGGATGTCGGCGTCATTGGCTGGGCCAGCATTTATTGCCGATCCCTAGATGCCCTTGAGAAGGTGGTGGTGAGCCGCCATTTTGAACCACTGCAGCCCATGTGCTGCAAGTAGATCTACAATGCTGTTATGGAGGAAATTCCAGGATTTTGATCCAATGACATTGAAGGAATGGCGATTAAGGGATTTAGGGAAAGAGTGGGGAATGAGTTTATGTAAATGGTGTCATTCCATATATATCACTGTTCATTCAGTGACATTGAGTAAAAATCCTGGAATTCCCTCCTAACCATATTGTGGGTCTACATACAGCACATGGATTGCAGCAGTTCAAGAAGCAGCTCACCACCACTTTCTCAAGTGCAGACAGGGATGGGTAATAAATGTTGGCCAAGCCATTGGCGCCCACATTTCCTGAACAAACAAATAGAAAAATGTGCAATGTTTTTGTTTATCTGAGATATTTTTCACTGAAACACTACTTGTGCTCGCTTCTTTCCGGTTGCTCTGCCATTCAGTTAGATCAGAACTGATCTGTATCTTAACTCCATCTATTTGCCTTTGATCGTTTCCCTCTAACACACATGCCTTACAGAATGTCTTGTCTGAAATTGTGAAATAGAATGCCTCCAAACATTCAACCCTTTAAGTAACCAAATTTCAGGCTTTCAATTTCCAAGTAAGGGATTAAAACCTCAAGCAAAAGATTTGTGCTGTGGACTTTGGTGCAATGACAATTGAAAGACCCTATCTGTATGCTGGCCTTTCAGGCTCAGGCACCTTTAACCCAATTACAGAGGAGCTCTGCATTTGGTTGGACACTGGTGAGTCAAAGTCCTCCAAAGTTCCTTGCACCTGCTCCCTGTCTGTGAGCCTAGCGCAAAAAGCTGCTTGGGTAGAGGGTGGCCCTGGCTTTTTCTCTTTCGCATACAGCCTGCAAACAGTACATAGCTAAACTGAGACTGAGGCCCATCTGGGTGAGGTACTAGAAGGCACTGCCAGTGTCGCCAGGACTTCAGGATACAGCACTGGCTCCTGTCACTGCTGAGAGACCGTCAAAGTGGAGGAAACCATTCAGAACACCACAGATTCTTACTCCAAAAAGTAAAATACTGCAGGTGCTGGAAATCTGAAACAAACAGAGAATGCCAGAAGAACTCACAGAGTTAACATTTCGAGTGCAGGATCCCTGTACGAAGAGAAGTCCGACTGGATTTGAAACATTCACTCTGTTTCTGTCTCCACAGATGCTGCTAGACTTGCTGAGCTTCTCCAGCACTCTCTTGGTGTTTGTTACACGCTCCTATTTTTTGAGTGAGCATGCCTAGTCAGCCTGCTCTAACACTTTGCTACAACAATGAGATCAAATTTCCCATCTGAATCATTGGCTGTGTATGGCACAAAGTACAATCTTCAGAGCTTGCCGCGCAATGAGGGGTTATTTGAGGCCATTCCTTTTGAAAGATCGGTGAGGGTGCAGTTCAAGATTCCTGGTTTCAGCTACATCCTATCCTATCCTATCCTCCATTCCCAGTACCACACAAAACCTCAGCCCCATCCAGAATTTTCAGCACAACTGTGCAAGTGTGGTATGAAGGGAGTGCCACACTGTCAGAGGTGCCAACCATTGGATGAGCATGTTCCTGCCTCCCTGGGCATGTAGAGCAGGAGGTTCTCCCTGGTGTGAGGTTTTATCTCTCAGCAAACAACACTAAAACACTTGATCTGGTTATTAATCTCATTTACTGTCACGGGATCTTGTTATCTCATACATTGGCTCCTGTGCTGACCATGTTCTCACAATAATTGTTTTAATGACTTGAAACATCTGTGACATTCTGAACTTGTCAAAGACACGACAAAAATGCAAACCTTTTGCTTCCAGTAGGTGTTAATGGGAACTAGTTTGGAGACTCCCACAATCCTGAATCCACTTCCAGCTCACGATCCATATAGACACATCAGCAGGAATCATTTGATCGCTTTTGGCAGCAAGCAGGTAAATCCAGGGGTACTGAGGCCAATTAATCAATCATTGTTATTGTACCATTGGAGTTCAATGAGCTGGTTTGCTGTCTGTTGTTAAGTCTTCACCCGAAGCTATTTGCTGGAACCCCAATTTCCTGAAATCCTTTTAGATTCGTCGTTATCACTTAGTAATGAAGCCTTCCATAGCCTTATAACTTTGTGTGAAATTATTTCTCACAACTTCTGTCTGGATTGTTTAGTTTCATCCTTGCTAACAACTTGTGAACCAACTGTTCCCTATTCATTCTCTCGAAGTCTTTCAAAATATCCGTACTTTCCTTTTGTTCCGCAAATATCCATTTTTCTTGCAAAGGAGAAAAGGCCCAAATGAGCCTTTCTTCTTAATCCTAATCCCTTAAAACTGGTGTCATAAAGTTATCAAGTCATAGAGACCCATAGCACAGAAAAAGGCCCATCAGCTCATCGCACCCATGCTGTTCAGAAACAACCACCTAACTACTCTAATTATATTTTCCAGCACTTGTCCCATAGTCTTGTATGCGTTGGCATCACAAGTGCGCATCTAAATACTTCTTAGATGCTCTGACAGTTTCTACCTTTACCACTCTTGCAGGCAGTGAGTTTCAGATTCCCACACCCTCTAAACCTTCTGCCCCTTACCCTGATATTGATCCCTCCATTACAGGAAACATTTATTCCTGTTTACCCCAACTATACCCCTCATAACTTTATACATCTCAAACAAGTACTCTCTCAATCTCCTATGCTGTATGGAAAATAACCCCAGTCTGCCCAATCTCTCTTCATAATTGAAACTCCCCAGCCCAGGGAAAATTCTGGTAAATCTCCACTGCATCTTCTCCAGTACTATCACATCCCTCCTATAATGTGGATCCCAGAACTGCACACAATACTCTGACTTTGGCCTAACCAACATTTTATACAGTTCTAGCATAATCTCCCTGCTCTTAAACTCTATGCCTCGGCTAATAAACGATATCCATTTTATCTAAATGTCCTGATACTTTAAGTGACGGTGGACATGCACACCAAGGTCTCTCTGATCCTCAGTCTTCCCAGGGTTCTACCATTCATCATGTCTTCCCTTGCATCTCTTGTCACCCTTGTGATTCCATGATCCTGACATTACCATTTTAGAGCAATGCTGAGAACTGGATGCTGTATGTTTACATGTCATGCAACTTTTCCAAAACCTCCTTGATTTAACACTACATACCAAATGGTCAATGGTAAGGGTTATGGGGTAGCAGGTGACCTTCCGCAGCCTGAGCTAACAGCCCACACCAGGACTTGTCAGTTTGGTGATCAAACAGGTTAGGAATCAACTTTATAAATCCTTCTACTACACATCACTGGCAGATGGGAAAGTGGGAGAGATTCCTGGCCATCTTAAGAACAGAAATAAATTGGAAGTTTGTCTATTTCATCCATTGCTCCAGGCTACTACATACAAGTGGAAATACTTGGCAAAATGGATAAGTGGATCGTAACACATCAGCATGTTGGTAAAGGACCCATCTCCTACTCCAGCTGAAATAAGGAAAATATCCGTTTTTGCAACGGTTTACATTCAATTAAGTGGCGTTTAAATGTGGTCGCTATTGCATCATAGGAATCACAGCAGCCAATTTGCACACAACAAGCTCCCATAAACAGCAATATGGTAATGACCAGTTGCTCTATTTCTGATATGTTGATTGAGATATAAATATTGAACACGACACAATGGTAAAACTTCCCTGCTTTTTTTTCAGAGAGTTGCAGGGAGTTCTGTATGGGCGGCTGAGTGCCTCTACTGGAAAATGGCACCACTGACAAAGCAGCACTCATTCAGTACGGCGCTAGGAATTGTCTGCGTGGATTATGGACTTAAATCGCCAGAATGGGCTGACACCCTTAACATACTAATGACGGACCGAGGCAGCTGTCCCTGAGCTAAGGCTGACACCAAAATCAGCAGTCGGTACAGATGGGAGGCAGAACCCCTGTGCGGTTTGGTAATGTCCAAAAATTGAATCCAACCTCTAGAAGGGGATTATCAGTGGCCGATAGGGTGTTGCAAGGAGCAGGGGATGCTGGCTGTGTAGTAATCCTTCAACAGAAAGAGACATTGCCCAGTGTAATAGGGAATATGGATGCTGAAAAGTAATATTGTGCTACAGGAGACTAGAGGAGAAAAGAGCAGGAATAATTACCTGGTGTGTTCAGGACCTCTAGAAGGCAGAGGAACAAGGCAGCAAAGTGACCCAGATGCTTCATGATGCTCGTGGTTTATCCTTCTCAGGTAGAACAGGAACAATGACTATTATAGTCATGTGGAAGCCAATTAGCTGACAGGATGTGGTCGCTTGTCTACAAGCAGCCACAGCCTTGATAACAAAACTATGTGGGAGGCTGACGAGGGAGATTTTCAATTTCACAGTTTAGAAAGCAATCTTATACAACACAGCAACTCCCATTCAATTGGTTCAGAATTATTCAGACGTCAAGCAGGAAAGCACAGCTGGTAAGACTGCATCCAGATTTTGGGTGTTCATCTGTTTCCTATTTGGTGCCCTGTTGAGATTTTATGAATATTTCACCCTTTAGGATGAGGGATATCCAGTAAGGAAACCAGTATCTCACTAAACCCTCTCAGACAGTCAACAATGTGGATTATCAGCAATAAATTCCCTTTCCACTGTCCACGTCAAACACTCTCAGGACAGATACATCACAGGGTTAGATACAGAGTAAATCTCCCTCTACACAGTGCCCATCAAACACTCTCTGGACAGGGACAGCATGGGATCAGATATAGATTAAAGTTCCTTCCATAGTGTCCCCATCAATTACTCCCAGAACAGGCACAGCATAGGAGTTACGTGGCAGAAGTTAGGGTTCAGAGGTCAGGGGGCAGGAGTGCGTGCATGCAGCATGTGATCAGGATGTAGGGAGGTATGGGCTGGAGATCGCCATGCCTTTCCACTTCCCTCCAACAAAGGCTGGATCTGGACCAATCACGAGTAGCCTGGTACGATTAGTGGTCTCTGATTGGCTGAAAGCTCTTGGGAATGGGCTACACACCCTGCCTGAGAAAGTTCTGCAATTTAACATCCCGGATGGATCTAGGACTCTAGCAAGAGGCCTCCTACTGCCCTTTGTATACTTTAGTTTGTCGGGGCTCCTGGAGAGCAGGCGGTAGGTCATGGGTGCCAATAGATTTTATTGCTGAGGTCAGGCCCCATTGCTATAATGTTACATTCCAACTGTTCTGTCAACCATAGTTCAGTTTGGAGCACTCTGCGCCTGTGGCCAAAGGCTGTGGGTTCAAGTCCCATCCACTATACAGCAGAAACTCCAGTGCAGTACTGAGGGAGAGTTGACCTGTTGGAAGTGCTGCCTTTTGAATGAGATGTTGGACTGAAGCCATTTCTACCCTTTCAGGTGGAGATAGCACTATTTCAAAGAAAAATTGGAAAGGTATCTCCAGTGTCCTGACCAACATTTATCTTTCAATCAAGGTGACCAAACCAAATGCTGTGATCATTGCCTCATTGCTATTTGTGGAGTTTTCCTGTACAATTTGACTGTTGTGTTTAAGAGCATAGACATAGGAGTGAAGAAGACCATTCAACCCATTGAATCTGCTCTGCCACTCAATGAGATCATGGTTGATCTAATAAACCTCATCTCCACTCTTCTGCTTTTTCCCCATAGCCCTCAATTCCTATACTGATTAATGATCTGTCTACCTCAGCCTTGAATATACTAATGACCCAGCCTCAGCAGCCCTCTGTAGTAAAGAATTCCACAGATTCTCTACCCTCAGAGAGCAGAAGTTCCTCCTTACCTATTTCTTAAATGTGCAACCCTTTATTTTGAGATTATGCCCTCTTGTCCTAGACCCCACATGGGAAACAACTTTTTCACATGTATATTTCAAGATGTTTGCCTCTTATTCTTCTATATTCCAAAAAGTAAAAGTCCTAACTGTACAACTTCTCTTCATAAGACAGTCCCGCCATACCTGGACAAAGACTCTCAAATCTCTCTTTCTCCATTTAAATAATATTCAGCTCCTCTATTCTTCCTGCCAAAGGGCATAGCCACTCATTTCTCCTTATTATATTCCACCTGCTAGACTTTTGCCCACTCACTCAACCTATCTGTATCCCTGTGCAGACTTGTTGTCTCACCCTCAGCATTTGCCTTCCCAGCTATTTTTGTGTCTTCTGCAAACTTGGTTATAATACATTCACTTGCCTCATCCAAATCATGAACATACATTGTAATAATTGTGGCCCCAGCACTGATCCCTTTGGCACTCCATTAGTTACAGGTTGCCATCGTGAAAGTATCCTCTTATCCCAACTCTCTGTCTTCTATTAATTAACCAATCCTCTCTCCATGCTAATTTACTATCTCCAATGCCTTGGTTCTTAAGTAGCCTAATGTGTGATACCTTATCAAGTGCCTTCTGAATTGTGTCTTGTACAGTTTTAGCAAAACCTCCTAACTTTTATACTCCATTCCCTTGGAAATAAAGGCCCTCATTCCATTTGCATACCCTATTACCTACTGAACTTGGATACAAGCTTTTTGTGATTCATAGAGGAAATCTCCTAAATCCCTCTGTTTCATAGCTTTTTGCAGACTTTCTGCATTTAAATAATATTCACCTTCTCTCATTCTTCTTGTCATAGTGCATAACCTCACATTTTCTCAGATTATGATTTCAAAAGTACTTCAATGGCTGTAAAATCAGGTGCTTATGAAGGTGCTATATAACTGCAGCCTTTCTTTCATTCCTGACTGCTAAACTGGGTGTGAAGATTGAGAAACTGGGCCACTTGTTTGTTATACCCAATCACATCCTCTCAGATCCTTGGAGGAGATAGCAGAGTAAATTTACTGACAAACGTTTGATGAAAGCAATAAGGCAGAAACAGTACAGTGTTTCAGTTACTCTAATTTTAACTGGGACACCATCTGTGTGAACAGTACAGAGGCCTTGAATTTCCTCAATTGCTTTCAGGAGCCAGTGTGTAGTCTGTCAACCAGATTCTAAGTTTGCTTTGAGGTAACAATGTGGGCAAATGGAAGCGGTTTCAATGAGAGGGCGTTTTGGAGCTATAATTGATTTGGATGTACAGCTTATCTATGTATCTTCCAGCTTTTCATCAATTCTTCCATTTGTTTAAAAACCCATCCTTCCATCTTTCTATTCCTCTATCCTTCCATCATTTCAACTTTCTATCATTTGGCCCCTTCAGCCATTAGCAATCTTCCATTTCCATCCTTCAACCATCCATCTATCCATTTTCTGTCCATCTCTCCATCTGTCCATCAATTCCTCTTTCTGTCAAGCCACCCATTCTTTTTCCCCTCATCAAAACATTTGTCTACCTCTCGATTCATCTGTCGAGTCCTCCATCATTCTATCCATTGGTCCATTTGCCCAGCTAGTCAGCTATTCAACAATTTCTCCACCCATCTATCCATTTATTTAACACCTCTTCTCTCAAACCCCTCAGTCAGGAACATGACCAGAAACGTACTGAGCATATCACTCACAATGTATAACCTCCCTCATAGTTCTCACCTTCAGTAACCAGTAATCCAACCTATGCTAAGTAATGGATTCTCTTACTCATAAATGTGGAACCTAGTCCTCAAAGTAATAGCGTTCGAAGATATTTATTGGCATTCATAAGGATTAAGTTCATAATGGAAACTATTATTCTTACTAATAATCACATCTATAAAATTAACAGCCCAGAATGTGCTGTGGAAATGAAACTGTCAGTGCTTAGTATCGAAACTCCACTAACAGCAACTTCAGGAGTCTGCATATGTGCAATATAATGCAGAAATTGAGAACAAAAACAGAAGTTGCTGGAAAGGCTCAGTAGGTCTGGCAGCATTTGGGAAGAAAAATTAGAGTTAACTCTCCCTCAGAACTGGAAGTTGCTTGCAGTGACTCTGAACTCTTCCAGAAGGAGCACTGTTGTGTAATTACACTGACCAGAATTTCTATGATTATGCTCTTAGGCTGGCTGTAAAGACGATGGCCTACTAAGTTCATAATTACTGTTAAACAGTCTCACTGGTTAAGAAGTAATTTCAGATGTTTTCTTTGACAAAAACATTAAGATAAGAAATTCAATATAGTTTTCATTTTAAAAGAGTTTGTCGATATATTTTAGTTTGCATCTTGATCCAAATATAATCATTTATTCCACTGGCAGAAAGTTAAAATTAAAGGAACTAAATGCTTTTAGCCTCCTGGTTTGCTGTCTGTGAGCATAATTAAGTGCACCTGACTGTTTGCCCTGCTCTTTGGTTTCTTGTGCTGCACATCCAGAGACCCTTGACTTGATGTCAGATTTTTACGTTTCATCAGTCCATGGCACAGAGATTGCTTTGTGGACAGCTTTCTTTGTGGTCGCCTGTTACTTCATTGCTGAATATAAACTGGATTAATAAGAATTTAACGATTTCGACATGCCCCTATATCTCCATAACACTTATCTGCCGGAACATCCCTTAGGAACTCTTGTTCAGAGCGCTCACTTGCATTAACACAAATAGTGACTCCCTTGATCAGACTCACCCACTGTAACAATCTTAGTAACTCTCGCCCACAGCACTCACATTTGATAATACCCAGTACTTCAACTACTGAAATGTAAACATTACAGGTAAAGAGTCAAACATCATTGAACATGAGGTTCATTTTATTACATTGTAACTACTCAGTGAGCAGCAAGCTCAATAAAAATATGTGTTTGTAGAAAGGTTTTGAGCTGCAAATAATATGTATGTAACACACTCAGCAACGACACTGGGTCTACACCCAATGATCTTGCTACTACCTTCTCAACATCATGTTTACGTACTGCATTTCCTCAGTACAGGGAAGCACTTGACAATCTGTATTGCTCAAGCCCATTCCTCCACCTCTTCAAAATGGTTGCACTCTTTGTGCTAATGGTGCTCCCTTACTGGTGTTTGGAACAGAATGTCCTCTACAATATCTTGTAGTTGATAAATGGTTCTCACAGGAGTATCATTTATGTTATGGTCCTTAGTACCTTTTAGCTGTTGGCATTGGACATGTTGGCACAGCAGGTTTGAGTATGTTTCGTGTTCTTTCCTTCATGTAGGCTTGTGTTTTGACTCCTCAACCCTTTGATAAAGTCATCAGCTGTCCTCAATGTTTGTTCAGTATTTTCTTGTTGCACTATTTGTCCAGAGTGAGCCGTATATTCTTATCTCTCAGGAAGATATATCGCCCTGTACGCTTCAAATGAAATAGATGCAGCTAGTGATGATCTCTCCCCAGTCCAGGTTATCACTCTACACTGGCCTTTATTGATTGAGAATATCACACATAGCAGTGACAAGAATGTACAGTTCGGTTGTGGAAATAAGTGTGGTTTCCCTGGCCATGCCTTGAAGATTACCACTTTGAGTTGCTTCTTGTTTGGTTTTTACCAGCCATCGTACAACAGCGCAGAACCACCCAGAGTCACATGGCAATTGGGAGTAACTGGGCATAGAGCAGGCATTCAATAGTAAAAGCACAGAGCCAGATATTCCTGTCCACACTGAGGGACTGTGGTGAATCAGTCGTCGACATGTTTTGACATTGGTCAAATGTGTGAATTGAATGTTACTGAGACAGAGATTGCACTAGCAGATATTTTACAAGATCAATAAGCTAACAGATTTAGTGATCACTGAAGTAGGACATCTCAGGTAGTAAGGGGGGTGGTTATGGTGGTTATAGAATGATCACATGAACTGTAGATGAAGAAATGAAGAACATCTGATCACTCCACAATGCTGCTACTTCCGTACGTTTATGTAAATAGTATCGTCCTTCATCTGAGACGTAAAAAGAAAGATACAATCAATCATTTACTGTGTCAGGGCAAAGTACAAGTTTGGTTTAGTGTATCAGTTGTTATGGAGACCAGGTAGGGAAGCTGGCTGGTCAAAAATGGGAACGTGATGAGAAAAACAAAAGCACAAAGGCCCAATCAGTAAGTACGAGTGTACAATGAGGAAGACTGTTCCTCTGATGTCTTTAGGTTACAAAAGACAAGTTTGATGAAAGGTGTGTGATTTATACATAAATATCATTTTATTAGAGTTTGGATTTCAAACTAGTGTTGTATTCATGTTGACCTACTTTTGTGAAGGGGTTTAAAATTAATCAGGTCAGTCTTTCTGGAACCATGATTTTCTAAACCAGCATGTATCATAAAGGGCAAGTGAATGCAAGGACTCTTGGAGTGTTAATGGAAGTTTATTTTGTTGGGGTTTACAACACAAGAGTGAAAGCCTTAAACCATTAGCAGTTGCAGGATCTACGATGAGCAAGTTTTGTTTTCATTCAATAGATTTTAGGTTCACTTTGAAGGAGAGTTACATGGGGTCAGAGAAACTATAATCTCTCCTTGGAAAAGGAGATTGCGGTTAGGGAATAAGTTACTCAGTGGAAGTGTGTAGCCTATGAAACTTTCTGACTAGAAACCTGCATTGGTTATTCAAAACTGAGAAAAATTAAACTCTTCGTTGTGTGTGTTTTCAAGGAAAAGTCTTCATGGGTCATAGGAGAGGAACTATGAAGAAGCAGTTAAGTCAAGCCTACCAATTGGACAGAGAAGGAAAATTTCTCTGGATTTTGATTAATTGTAAAATGATGGGATTTTGTTTTACCATTTTTTTGAGTCATAGAGTCATGCAGCATTGAAACAGACCCTTCAGTCCAACCAGTCCTTGCTGACCATGTTCCCAAACCAAACTCGTCCCACCTAACTGCGTTTGGACTCCAGATCTTTCCTTCATACTGCATTATGTATAGCTAGTTTGGTATTTAATATTTTATCTTTATTTATTTTGTGTAATAAACTCCTGTTTTCTGTTAAAACCAGTTTTGTAGCCCAGTGTGTTTATGTGTCACTGATAGACCACCACACTAAATCTAAACAAAATATGAAATATTGAATTTCATTCTGGGTTCTGATTTGTCCAGTAGTAACATCAACCAGGATCATTATACAGGCAGGAAAGGGATAGATTGCAAGTCACTGCACTGCTTGGAATTGGTTCAGCATTAGTGAACAAATTTTTCATATTGTCAGACAGGGTCGGGGTTGGGGACCATGTAACACTGACAAATATTAAAGGACTATGTAATGGAGGAATGAATGAACAAGAACGTAGTAAGACATGGAAAGATTAACACCAGGAGACTACGAGAGTAGACATCAGTTTTCAATGTCTTCTTGCCAGAGATAAACTCACAACTGAATATAAACTCATTTGATAATTTTTAGCTAACTCTAAAATGAATGTGTGGGATATACTGGGAGCTTTAGTGTTAGGGATATGTGGTAGGGGGTTATCAAAGGCCAGTGCAGAATAAATTCTTCAGGTACATACCTTGTGTTTACAGTACAACAACGTCAAGGATGTGCTGTACAGGAGCAGTAGTGCAGCAAGTACGATAAGAATTATAGTTGGCAAAAAACCCCCAGTGGCTTGAACATCTGAAAGAGAAGACATCCCAGTGTAATCCCCAGACTCCAAGATTCCCAGTAGGAATAGGGATTAAATACACAGTCTCTGTGAAAGGGTGGTTTGCTGGAAAGGTACAGCGTGTCTGTGGAAGGGTAGAGAGTCAGATGGAAAACAATGCCCCTGAGAAAACATGGGGAGCGAAGTGGGACACAGCTTCTGGATGTATAGAGTAAACATTTGAAACTTTTTAGATGGGTTACAGTGCCTAGGGCAGGTGGTTGGATGGAGTACAGTCTCTTACCAAAAGGATTTGGAATTGAATTTTGTACAGTTTCTCTATGAAAGGACAGAAAGCTGGAGGCAGTATGGAGGAGGCTAGGAAGACGATGGAAAGGCAGTACTGATAGGGAATTCTTTAGTTAGGGGAACAGATAGGTGTTTCTGCAGTGACTCCAAGATAGATTTTTGCCTCCCGGATGCAAGGGTCAAGGATGTCACAAAACTACTGCAGGACATTTGCCTGGGGGAGGGCAAACAGCCAGAGGTCATGGTTCACATTGAGACTAATGACGTCGGTAGGAAGGGTATGTGGTCCTGCAATCGGGCTGAGTAGGAAATCAGCATGCAGGACTCTTAAATAATAATCTCCAGATTACTCCCAAAGTCATATGCCAGTGAGTACAGGAATGGGAAGAGAAAGCAGAATGATGCTGGAAAACTGCTATAGGAATGAGAGATTTAGATTCCCCTGACATTGGTACTGGCTGTTGAGGAAATGACCCCTGCAAAATCCAGAAGGTTTGCATCTGAACAAAGTCAGGACTGAGTTCCTTGCAGAGCATTTGCTACAACTGTTGGGGAGGTTGTAAACTAGCTCAGAAGGGCTGTGGGAACCAGTGGAGAATATTAGAGAGTGATACCATTGATGCACAAAATGCTGGGAGAGGCAATTAGCTCTAAAATAGAGAATAGTAAGTTAATAAATAGAGTCAGAATACAGTAGAAAGTAATGAAGGCTAAATCAGGGTTGAACTGCAAATGTGTGAATGCAAAGCGTATAACTGATCAGGTTGGGGAATTACAGGCACAGATTGTCTTGTGGGATTATGATGTGTGGTGATAACAGGGATCTAGCTCAAGGAAGGACAGGACTAGATGTTAAATATTCCTGATTACAAGTTATTAAGAAAAGATAGGAAAGGAAATTAGGAAAAGGCATGGTGTCTTTGGTTAAGGAGAGCATTTCAATACTGAGAAAGAGAATATCTCAGAGGGCTCAAGGACAGTATCAATTTATTTACAGACCATAGGATATAGGAGCAGGACTAGGCCATTCGGCTGATAGAGCCTGCTCTGCCATTCGATCATGGCTGACTTTGTTTCCCAACCCCATTCTCCCTGTAATCTTTAATCTCCTTACTTATCAAGAACCTATCTATCTCTGCCTTAAATACATTCAATGACTTGGCCTCCACAGACTTCTGTGGCAATGAGTTTCACAGATTTACCATTCTCTGGCTGAAGAAGTTTCTCCTCACCTCAGATTAAAAGGGTCATCCTCTCACTCTGAGGCTGTATCCTTGGATCCTAGTCTTTCCTATTAATGGAAACGTCTTTTCCATGTCCACGCTATCCAGTCCTCCCATTATTCTGTAAGGATCAATCAGATCTCCCCTCATCCTACGAAACTCCATTGAGTACAGACCCAGCATCCTCAACTGCTCCTCGTATGACAAGCCCTTCATTCCCAGGATCAATCTTGTGGACCACTCCAAGGCCAGCACATCCTTCCTTTGAAACAAGGCACAATACTGCTCACAATATTCCAAATGCAGTCTGACCAGAGCCTTATACAGCGTTAGTAGTACATCCCTGTTCTTGTATTCTAGCCCTCTCAAAACATTGTGTTTGCCTTCCTAACTACCAAATGAATCTACATGATAACATTAGGAAAATCCTGAACCAGGACTCCTGAATCCCTAGAGCATAAGGCATACAACACAAGAACAGGTAGGAACTTATATATGACACTGGTAAGACCTCAGCTGGAGCATTGTTTACAGTTCTGTGCACCACACTATAGGCAGGTTGGAAATAGCTTAGAGAGAGTTCAGAAGAGGTTGAAGAGAATGTTATGTCAGTTATGAGGTAAAATTTGAGAAGTTGTGACTGTTTTTCTTGGAGGAGAGAAGGCTAAGAGGAAATTTGACAGAAGTTTTCAAAATCACGATGGGCCTGGATAGAGTAGATAAGACGAATTGTTCTCATTCATAAAAAGATGGAGAACCAGAGGGCACAATTTTGCAAAAGGATTAAATGCGAGTTGAGAGAAAACTTGTTAATTGCAGTAAGTGGGTAGGGGATAAAATTCACTGCTTGGGAGTGTGGTGGTGGCAGGTTTAATTGAGGCATTCAAGAGGACATTGGTTGGCCATTTAAATAAAAACAGTGTGCAGGAGAAAGGTGGGAGAATGGCACTAAGTTAAACTGATCAGAGAGCTGGTGCAAACCCAATGGCTGAATTGGTTTCCTTCTCTACCATAAAAGTTCTGTACTTCTGTGATACATGCAAATTGTTGGGAAATAAGATGGGGGACAGTGTCTGTGTAAAAGAGTGAGGAATTGGATGAGGAGCAGAAGATACTGAATAGGTCAAGGAGAAGGAGGGGGTAATTCAGTTATAAGAAGAGTTTACAATTGATGAAAAAGAAATATTGAATAATCTATCTATATTTAAAGTGTTGATAAGGCACAGGGACTGGAAGAGATGTATCCAAGGATATTAAGGGAAGTGACAGTGGGAGTTGCAGAGGCACTGGCTATAATTTCTCAGTCTTAGATAGAGGGCGGTGCCAGAGGGCTGGAGAATTTATTGGGGTGTGATTGGTGGGAATATGGAGTAATCGGATCAGCAATGATCTTATTGAATGGCAGAGGAGGCTCAAGGGGCTGAATGGCCTACTTCTGCTCTTCATTCATATGTCCTATGTTCTCATTATTTATTTAATCAAACTCTTTCATGAATTTGAGCACCTTCTATTAAATCTCCTTCAGTTTCCTAAGGAAAACAATCCTGGCTGCTCCAGTCTCTCTACATGATTCAAGTCCCTATCCGTGATTCCACTTGTGTCATTCTTTCCTGTGGCCTTTCTCTGGCCTTGACCTCACCATGAAGTGAGGTGCCCAAAATTGGATACACTCCTCTACTGGAGTCACCCAGTGCTTTATAAATATTCAGCATAATGCCATTACTTTTGTACTTTAAGGCTCTGTTTTTAAAAGCAAATATTGCAGATTCTTTTTGGACTGCAGATTTCCCAAGTTGTGTTATTAACTTCAAAGACTTGTGTATATACATCCCAGGTCTCTCTGTTCTTGCAACCCCTTCAAATTGCACACTCATTCTTCCAAGCAAAATCCACCGTTTAACATTCTTCTGCAATCAACCTCACCTGCTATGTGGTGTCCTGGCTTATAAGCCTGATTGTGTTCTCCTGAACTCTGTCACAAATAATATTGACTTTTATAGGATCTGCACATCTTGACTTTAATCCCTGTATCCCTGGTCCCAGTCATAAATATATGTTATAAAAATGCAGTGTTCATAATACTGACCCTGGGGCATATTTCTCTTCAATCTGTAGGGTGAGTTTTCTGCTATCTTACCTCCAAGTGGAGTTGGATATGGTTCTGATTTTAACTCACTTAAATCTCTTTCACTCACTTGGAGTTAAAATCCAATGAACAAGTGTGTAAGGAGTTTGTGGAGTAACGGTGTGTCTCCTGCACTATGTTGTTCTAGGTTTCTGTGTTGCTGTTCAGTGAGTTGGCAAGACTGTAGTAATTGCAAGTTGTCCACAGAGGCCCTCAGTAAGTTATGTAATATTTAAATCAAGGATGGTAACGGGTGTATGTACTTCAGAGCAATATCACATACACCTCAGAGTGAATCAAGGAGAGGGGACAGGCCATCTTATGAGTGTGTGTGAAGAGGGCAGGGTCTTGGCTGGCTTGGTTCCACTCCATTCTGAAGGCACACTGAGTGCAGAAGCGGCCTTTCTGAAGCTAAGGATCTCACCATGGATTGGGAATTGGAGCTGGGAATCAGTGTGTGCACAGCTGAAGTGGACACTTATGAAGGAGCCTCCCAGTGTTTTGCTGAGGTATAAAGGAAGCAAGTTAACCTGAGCACTCACCTTCAGGACAGGTGATTGCCTGGTTGATGTAGATGATGGTCCATTGCCCAGCGCTCTCATGAAACGGCGGTGGATGTGTCTTCAAAACCTGACAGATGTACCTGTCTGTGTCAGTCACATTGAGGCCCCGGATGGTTATCGACACGTTATTCTGACTCAGCGAAACCTGGCAGTGGTACAGGCCCTTTCTCACCGAATTTATAATTGTGCCATTGATGAAGGAAGTTGTACAAACCTCGGTGTCTTTATTCTGCATGCCCTTATACAGGACGACTTGGAATTCTTCACCCATTTGACGGCCATCAAACCCACATGCCAGGCTGGCCTCTCCACTATGGTTGGCCTTCACAAAGTGTAGCTTGAAGATGCCCATGTTTGACCCTATGAAATAATGTGAAGAAGTTTCATGATTGAAAGCTCTCTTTCTACATCTGGTGATTTGGACACCACTGGCAAAGCTGACAATTCTAGACCATCCCTTAGCCTCTTTTGAGGAGGTGGTGATAAGCTGCTGCCTTGAACCATTGTAGCCCATGTGGAGCTCCCACTGGCTGGAGGAGGAGAGAGTTACAGGCTATTGACCCAGTGATGATGAAATTACGGTAATGCTTTTCCAAGTTGAAATGGTGTGTGACTTGTTGGGCTGGCGTTTCCTTGCAGTTGCTGCCTAATCCTTTTCAATGATTCATGTCCTGTGCTTGGATATTGCTGTCGAAGGAGTCATGGGTTGCATTTTGTAGATTGCAAACACTCCAGCTATGATGCCTTGGATGGGGTGCCCTTTGTCCGAATTTGTGTCAGAACTGCAACTTCAGAAACATCATGATCAACTAGACTGTCAAATTTGGGATTTTAATGTAAGTGGAAGGAACAGAAGAATGTTGTGGTTAGATTGGGGAAATGAGGGTGGGGAGTATTGGGACATGCTCAGAGATAGTCTTGTCAGTGATTGGGATCTCAGGAGTAAAGAGATTATGTGAGATGCAAGTTCAAGAGGATGGCTGTGAATCTGACAAAAACATTTCTGTGGAGGAAGAAGTGAAGTTACAGGAGAGAGGACAATAGGAGCTGAGATGGAGGCAAACAGGACTCATATTAGGTAAAGTGAGTTGACCAACATTTAGCAGATGGAATACAATGTCGGTAACAGTGAGGTTGAGGAAAATAGAGAAGCAGAATATTATTTCAGTGGAGACAGACTGTGGAATACTATGGTGCAGAGGACTCTGGATGTTCTTGAACGTGAATCACAAAAGGTTATCTTGCAGGTAGAGAACGAAATTAGGAGGGCAAATGGAATGTTGGGCCTTATTACAAGGGCGATGAAGTGTAAGTGAACGGAAGTCTTGCTTCAGTTGTACAGTGCTTTGGTGAGATCACATCTAAAATACTGTGTACAATTTTTGCCTTCTCACTTGAGTGGGGCTAAACTTGCATTGCAGGCAATTCAGAGAAGGTTCTGTAAGGTAATTCCTGGGATGAAGATGTTGTCTTATGAGGAAAGGTTGAGCATATGAATCTATACTTATTCGAGTTTTGAACAATGCAAAGTGACCTTATTGAAATATACAAGATGCCGGGAGGTGTGTTTTAACTGAGAAAGGAGTGACAGATGGCTCTGACCTCTCAGTTATCAGACAAGAATTGCCCTTTTACCCTTGGACAAAGGTCTGTCACATGAAGGCCTGGAATCTGCTGCTGATGGCAGAAAGCCTGGGATGTGGTGGTGTCTTTAAAATAATACTGCCCTGGCACAGTGGCATGCCTTGTCCAACTTGCACTAGAATACTAAAGGTGAATTTAGGATTGACAAGTCTGGTTGAATGCCTTTCTGTGGCTTTTAGTTCATGACCTCCTGCCTCCACTCTCCCTTTGATCTCTGCATGGACATGCTCATTGCATACCATCTTTTGCAACCAATGAGAAATCAACATATTCCTCGTGACTGAACTGGATGGGTCTTGACTCTCTAAAACTCTTCATTTCCAACTCAACAACAACAAGAACTTACATTTGTATAGAACCTTTAACTGAATGAATCCTCACAAGGTGCACCTCAGGAGCATTATTAAGCAAAGGGAAGTGGGAAGGTGGAGGGAGAGAATTTAAGAGATTAGGTCTGAGGTAATGGAAGGTATGACCTCCAGTATTAAAACAATTAAGATTGGAGATACACAAAAGGCCAGAATTAGAGGAGTGAAGATATTTTGGAGGGTTGTGGGGCAGTTGTGATCAAGATATTGAGGGTCAGAACCACACTTAAAAGCAAACGTGGAAATTAAAAATTGAGACTTTGATTCAGCGACAGTGGGTGTCAGTGAGCACAGGACTAATGGCTGACCGAGTATTGTTGAAACATTTAGGATAACCTTAAGTTTTCAGTGGTAGAATGTAGGAGGTTGGCCAGGAGTGTGTTGGAACAGTCTAGAGGTAATGAGGGTTTCAGCAGCAGATGAGCTGAGGCAGGGGGAATCAGGAAATGTTACAGAGGAGGAAAACGGTGGTCATAGTGATAGCACAAATATCCAGTCAGAAGCATACCATAGCATTAAATGTGACATCAAGTTTGGATAGATTGATTTCATCTCAGACAGTTCCCAGGAGAAGGATAGATTCACTTACTATAGAAGAGTTTGGAATGTGAACCAAAGAAAGGCTTCAGGATTTTAACCTCAACTCTACAGTCCTGCAGACATCTGAGAATCTTTCATCCAAGAATTAGGAAGATTGAGGATAAGCTAATCTGTTTTAGTGCTAGGTTTAATAATTGAATACTTTGAACAAGGCAGATGTGCAGAAGTTGCTTTTTGAGCCAACCTGTCCAGTTCACTGATGGCACTGGTGTAGAGTTGGATTGTTTTTTGCCTGGTTCAATCTCCTACCTCAATGCAATTAGTCAATAATGGCGTTTCTAGTACCCAGAATCCTCTGTACTCTATCCATGTGGCCTTATAGGTGCAGAGAGCTTTAGCTCATTGAAGTTTCTCTGGCATCAATGCCCTGTAATGCCTCATGCCAAGAGTCACATTTGAGTGTTGACTGTGAAGATATTACTCCACAGAAGGCATTAGCACCAAGCTTGGTTGCATCTTTGCCTCACATGTGAATCTGTTGGGTTTTCACTGAGATCCTACAGCCCAGCCAAAGAATGGTGAGTTGGATTATAGAGGATCTAGTATTGTTATGGCTGAAACTAAGAGTTGGCACAGATAGGAACATTGAGATAATGGTCAGCTATTGAATCCCTTGAAACTTTACCCGCCTTTCAGTCAGATTATAACTAATCTGTATGTTCACTCCATGTATCCTTCAATTCTCTTAACTAACCAAATGGTATCAATTTCAATTTGAAATTCTTCCGAGCCTCACCATTCTTTTGGGGATCAAGTCTTGGCTTTGTTTTTATCCCGATATTTACTTGACAATGCCTTTTATATTGAGCCAAGGGGTGGGAACGTTTCCGGTTTTGTGCGATAGGTGAGTGAGGAAATTTGGAGCTCATTTTTAAGTCAGCAAGTGTTTGGGACACAGGCCAGTTGTTGAATGGATGGCCAGTAATCTGGTATCGAAGCAGAGTAATCTCTATCCCAGGATTCTGGCTCATAACAAAAACCATGAACTAACCATGAACAAAGATTGTAAACAGGAAGCCCAGAACTGCCTCCTGCTCAGCTGCGCAGGTGCATTGCTACTTCCTTTCTAACAATGTCAGTTCTTGGGCTCATTGCTGTGGTTCCTGTCTGTGGCTTCATAGCCTCATGGGCTGGATCCTCTTGAAAGATTCAGATCCAGATGTGGCATGCTGTGCATTGAGCTGAACTGTTCAATATGGGCCCATTAGATTAGTGCATCAGTGAGGGGCAGTCAGTAAAGAAAGGGAATGACTGTGAAGGAGTCAGTTGAAATGGAAGGAAATTAGGTTGATGCTGTTTAATAAAAATGTACTTGACCATCTACCACCCAAAACCTCCTGACCTATCATCAATTTCCTTTTCATTTCTCAGCCCTTGATGGTGTTGGTGTCTCCCATCTCCATGCTTGAATTTTTCCAATCAAGTTTCCAAGCTGGTTCACTTATAAACAGCTTTTAACAATGTCATAGATGTTATCCTCTGTGACTGCAACCCATGAATACATTTTCCCTTTTCATAGTCTCCTGTTCCCTTTGACATGGTTAACGCTTTTCTTCAATGGCTTTCCTTCACTGTGCAGAGCAATTGGACATCCTTTACCAGGTTTCACATCCTCAGATAGTTTTGGTTTCTTTGTGGGCATCACTCGTTCGGACCAGTATTGATTGTCTATCTATGCAGATGGGTGCGGTTTCAACAACATTCAAGAAGTTTGACACCACCCAGGATAAAGTCATCGGCTTGATTGACACCTCATCCATCACTGTCCATATTCACTGCCTTCACCACCGATGCACACCTTGCCCTTTTTCTATTCCCCATCCACATTCCCCCTCAGTGGCATCATCCATCCACAACAAAAGGTGTCTTCTCTTGTCCTTGACCTATGATTCTTCCCCATTGTGGCTAACAGGGTCCCTGATTATGTTCAGCGCATTTTCCACACTTTTGTTCTCACCCCTTCCCCTCCCTTCCAGAGTCACATTAGGGCTCTTCTTGTTCTCAATTTCCACCCCACCAGCCTCAGTATTCAATGGTTCCTTTTCCACCATTTCCACCACCTCAAGCATAATGTCAATATTAAACACATCTTCCCCTCCCCTCCTGTGTTAACATTTTGAAGAGATTATTCCCTCTCTTATACCCTGATCCAATCTGCAGTCACCCTCAGCACCCTGTTCCCTTTCTGTGCAATTACAGGAAGTACAAGACCAGTCCTTGCATCTCCTCTCTCCTCACCCTCTAAGGCTCCAATGGATGTTCAGGCATTTTTTTATAGTTTCTTCAATCCAGGCTGCTGTAGTTACTATTCACAGTGTGGTCTCCTCTACACTGGGGAGACTAAACACAGATTGGGTGACCATTTTGGAAAATACTTCCATTTAACCCGCAAGCATGATAATTAGCTTCTTGTGGCCTGTCATTGAATTGTCCATCTTGCAGTGACACTGATTTTTCTGGAGAAGATTGGAGAATCATACAGTCGTAGAATCATGGAGTCATACAGCGTAGAAGCAGACGCTTCGGTTCAACTCATCCATGCCGACCAGATCTAGACTTGATCTCAACTGATCTAGTCCCATTTGAGCATTTGGCCCATACTCCTCTAAACTCTTCGTATTCATGTACCCACCTATATGCCTTTTAAACATTGTAATATTCTTTATCCCATCCCCCTCAATCTGTCTCCTACTCTGGCTCTTTATCGCCTTCCCCTTACTCCATATCCCCCTCTGTTTCCCTCAATCC